ATATATATATATATATATATACATATATATATATATATATATATATATATATATATATATATATATATATACATATATATATGTACATTTATATATATTTGTATATATATATGTATAGATACATACATTGTATATACACATATGTGTGTATACATGTATGCACACACAGACACACACACATGCACTTGTATATATTTATATATACAAGTATATACATATATACACATGGACAAATACATAGCTATTCATTTTGTATGACGACAGCAATGAAGACTGTTAATTAGTATGCATATACAAACGAGTACTTTAGGACAATAAATCATGCAATTTCTCTGTTGTTACTAATGTATGTGCCTCTCGGGATTTGAAGGCATGCGCGTCCGAAATGTCATCTGTAATAGAAACATCGATATGTTCACGTTAATGCACTTTTAATAAACGCAATGTTAAGTAGAAATATATTCGGACATGCATACCCTCAAATATAAATGCCAGTTGCAGTTCGCATAGATACAGGCGCTATTATTCTTATATACCATGGATAGTCGACAGGGTATTGAAGAATACTAATTTTAAGTAGGAAATCAGTTAGCAATAGCCAGTAAGCATAAACAAACTGATCTGAATTCTGATCATATCAGTAGAACATTTGCGCTGTTAGCTGTAGGGCCTAGTGTGCAGCACTACCATCACCCTGGGGTGCTGTTTGCAAGCATTGTTGGTTATCAACAACAAACACCCAGGTCAAATACAGGTCATAGTTACTGATCCTGATTTCCCCATTCCTTTGAATTGGCGGGAAAATGTGTTTTTCTTTTTAATACAATTGATATCGATACTGTTATAATTGTTGAAGATGTTATGATTATTAAATTGTTATTAAAATGTTGGTAATATTTAAGATAATGGAATAATGCAAAAAACCCTTTCCAAAAGTAAAAAAAAAAGAACATGTGAAATAGGTAGGACTAATAACTGACACCTTGGTGACTAAGCACTCGTAGAATCATCTATGTGTTAATAAATAAATTTGTATTACAGTGGGCATGGCATGTATTCTTGTCCTAATTGGGTTAAGGGTGCTAGATTTTGGACTTTCTGTATATGGTACATTAAAACTTTTATATCTGAAGTAATTAATGCATATGGTCAGTAGATTAAGGAACAAGGATGTTTTATTTTTTCTTACATTACATTGTTAATCACAGCTGGGGAATTTGTTATGCCTGTTTCTAAAAATTGCATTTCACAACAAATTGCTAGAAATAACTGAAAATCAATTTGCTCATTGAATTGTGCCAGTCTGGAAGAAACAGAAAATCAGTAACAATAAAGATGAGCTATGCTGATTACTTACTAGATGCGGCTTATAAAAAGCATATTTTTTGTACCACTTAGGAGTTTTGCCCAAAATGTGGATGTCAGGGCCTAGTGGGAAAAAACGGCCGCGACCCAAGCTGTCTCGAGAATCACCAATCAAAACTCCGACTTTCAGTAGACAGGCAGCTGCAACATCATCAAAATGAACTTTAAATAAGAGCAAGCAAAGGCCTTTGACTTGCTGCGAGGACATAAATGCAAAAGTAGCGGTCAATATATATTTATATATGCGTTGTGAATTCAGTAGGATTCTAAATTAAAATCGAAGATCAAAAGGAAGCAGCCTCATAAATGTACCTAATTCAACATCTTCCAGACCTCGTTCGCCTGCCTTACACTTCGTCTTATTTGGCATCGCTTCTTCCACTAACTTTCTTGTTGCTTCTCTGCTTAAAACATAACCAGACCCTGTAAGTAAACAATTATATTTTACAATGAACCTGGATGGACTAGAGAGCTCTAGCAACTGGCTGCTGTGAACTATGTGGATCATAAACACTATTTGTCATCGGAAAAGACCAAAACTGAAGAGTTATCCAACTTGATGGAGTATCAAAAATACGATAGCCCCCTTTGGTTTTGAAAGCTAGCATGAAAAAAAA